TAATCTGTTAGTTCGTTTACGGTGCCACCGGACTCCTCGTTGTTTTTATTGGCAGGAAGAGCATTTCAGTGTGTACACCTCCACTGTTTTGTCAACAAAAACCGTGTAGTGTAGACAAGACCTAAATGTTTCACTTATATGGTCAGTTAGTCAGTTTGTCCTTCACACCGCAAAAGGGGGGAGAAAAACTATTCCCCTAGGAAAGTGTGATTCTAACACCACAGAACTGGCGGGAGGGGGGGAGGACGGGACTCAGAGGCAGATGTAGAACCTGAAAGTACTTTTAACTGATTTATTTGAAACGGATCTGACTTCACGGTGGTATCCTTTTGAGAACTGGCGAATACGCTGAAACAATACGGAGAGGAACTCAGTCACGTTTGGCTATTCTGGTTTGTTTCAACTAAGCCCCCAGACCCAACCTGACAGGCCTTTGGGGAAATCAAACTCCCTTGTTCTAGCACAGACCGACAATATTTTAAGCCATTCCACCCTCATTTTGTTAGAAGCACAGAATGAGGCAGTCCACCTGCAGGTCGAAAATGTGGTGAGTGAGCGGAAGTCATCTACAGCACGCTCTCCTTCCAGTGAGCATCTTACCTTACTCTGCTTTCTGTCCAGGTAGAACTGGTGCTGGCTAATGGCCATAGCCCAAATGGACTTGATCAATGCAGGACAGGCGTACCATGTATGCACGGCAATGCCACTGTGCCCAAACGTTCTCCTGGTCACAGACGCCCTAGACAAGAGGATAGAATGAGCTGTGTTTATGCCAGGGTCTCCTCTGACTCTAAGCGGAGAAGGAAAAAAATGATCAAACAGCAGGTTGGGCTGCAGAATAAAACCAAGGACCGTGCCGAAAAAGCTGCTCCCCTTATTATTCTGGGCTAAGGGAAATTCACAGAAGGGAAATGATGGCCACCTACAGTCACTGAGCCTTCATTTTACGTTACACATCGACTTGCAAGCTGCAAGAGCTGAAAAGCACTAATAGTGATTACAACAATATCTCAGGGGTAATATGGTCTAGTGGACAGAGTTTGGATTGGAGTCAGGACTCCTGGGTTCTCTTCCAAGCTCTGCTTTTGATGCACTGCACATCCTTTGGAAGTCACTAAGTCCAAAGCTTTTAAAAGTAGGCATCTCCATCTTCCCTGGACATAACATTTGGCTCAAGCCACTAGTCTATGAAGTCCAGCACCCTCCCTGACAAAAACCCCTACTTGGTCAGGGAAAGGGGTCCCTTTAACTGATACTGGCTGGGTGTAGTGGGGGAGGCCAGTATTTCCTCCCTTGGTATCCTGCTGTTAATTGATTTGTCTCGTTAGACGGACCTCACACGTGGTAAAGCAACCCCCATCCTTTCATGTATTTATACCTGCTCCTGTATTTTTCACTTCACGCAGCTGATGCAGTGGGCTGTAGCCCACAAAAGCTTATGCCCAAATAAATTTGTTAGTCTCTAAGGTGCCGCAAGGACTCCTCGTTGTTTTAGGATAACACAGAAACCTGATACTAATTGTCATGGACTTTTGCCTATGGTGTGCGGCCGGGCAATGCAGGGTGGTAGCGAGGTGGTGCAGTAGTGGGGGGTGTCAATGCACAGTGCAGGGGGTGGTGAGGTAGTATAGCCGTGCTACACATGGGGTGGTGAGGGGGGGAATCTGTGGTATGCAGGGGTGGGGAGGGTGTGCGGCTGTGCAATGGACAAGAGTGAGCAAGGGGATTTTTCTCTGATGCCCAGAGGTGATCACATTCCCTGCTGAAGCACAGGTTCCCCCCCACACACACACTCTGATGCCCTCTCTTCCATCGTCTCTTGGCTACAGCTTTAACTGTCTCTTCAGCATCCTAACTTTCACTTCCAATTAAACGCTAGATCTGTCGGTGTTCGAGTGCTCCTGATTTCATTTCTTTTTGCGTAAGTGGGAGCTTGAGAAATCGGCACAGAAAAAAAAAGTCAAATTGCAAAGGAAAATTGAAACTAAGCTAAGAACAATTACAGGGGGAAAAAAACCCCAAATCCCAAACCCTGCGGATCCAGAACTGAAACTGCCAGCCCAGGCTTGGCTTTGGAGAGCACAGCACCCGTTGTGTCTGGGGCCATTTCAACTGCACATTTTTATTACAGAACCAAATCAGAAGCATTAAACAATGTGGGATTAAACGTTTTCCAGCTAAATGTGCCGACGAAAAGGCACATGGTCACTGTTAAGAATCCAGTGAAAGGTAATGGGGGGGCGAGGGGTGGAAGACTCAGAGGGCTGAGAAACAGCATGATCCAGGAGCCAGGTGAAAGGCTGTGACTGTTGGTATCATGTTTCGGTGTTATCCTATATTCCAGTGTTCTCAGCCTTTTCCATACTGCCACCGCTTACCTTCCCCCTCCCCCCTGCACAGAGCCAGGAGCTAGCTGGAAATGCCCTCCCGCTTAGCAGTGTGGTCACAAACTTCTCCCACCAGTTCATGGTTCCCTGGGAGTTGAAACATCCAGAGTTGAGAGCCCCTCCACTATGGTTAGTAGCTTTATATTTAAGCACCTTGGCCCAGACACACTGGCACACGCCGGAGGCTTTGTGCTGGTCTAGTAATGCAAAGCAGCCACAGCGTACTGGTGAATTGAGCCCCTTATATATCCAGGGCCCAGGTCAGCAAGATACTTAAGCATGTGCCTAACTCTAAGCACTGAGTAGTTCTATTGAGGTCAGATTTAATTATTTGCTTTGACCTCTTGGAAATGTCTTCCTCAGATGAGGCCCTAATCTCTTCCTCCTCTTACTGTAGAGAATAACAGTTTACATTTCTGTAGTGACTTTCATCCAGGGATCTCAAAGCACTCTACAATTATGAATGAATGAATCCTTTCAATGCTTCTCTTCTACCCCAATAAGTATTATTAGCCCCAATCAACAGATGAGGAAACTGAGGCTATGTCTACATTACAGCCGGATCTTCGCACAAGGGGTCGATTTAGCGGGTCTGGTGAAGACCTGCCAAATCGACCATAGATCGCTCTCCCGTCGACTCTGGTTCTTCATCCTGAATGAGAAGAATAAGTTAAGTTGATGAGAGAGTGTCTCCCATTGACCCAGCGCAGTGTAGACACTGCAGTAAATCGACCTAAGCTACATCGACTTCAGCTACGTTATTCACAGAGCTGGAGTGGAGTAACTGAGGTTGACTTACTGTGGTAGTGTAGACATAGCCTTAGACCAAGTTAAATGACTTGCCCAAAGGAGGAGGTCATTTGCAGAGCAAGGACTAGAACTCATGCCTTCTGACTTCCAGCCTTGTGCATTAACCACACACACACACACTCTCTCTCTCTCTCTCTCTCTCTCCTTCCTTACTATGCTGCTTGTGAGCGTGGGTAAGCTGACAGACTCTGGTTTGGATTAACTCAAAAGGAATGCTGAGAGTGCACTGTTCTGGCCATGTCTCCACCCCCACAGACTACGCAATTTAGCATGAAAAAGTCCACCCCACCCCACTCCCTCGGCCAGGAGACTAGAATCTGAAATATGTTCCTTCGGGATCCAGGACTCCCAGCTGACAGTGCAATGTGGGCTACTGTTTTACACTAGAAGCAGCAGTTTGATACAAGGCATTAGAATTAAATATGTGCTGTCTGGCTTTTATATTCAACATGCTTCTATTTTACACAGTGAAAAACTAACAGAGTAAAAATCATTTGCACAATATAGGGCCTAGTCCACACGGAATATAGGACATGGCATTTATGCAATTCAATAAAGGTTACAGGGAAAAGAATGGGGAGGTTTTCCATATCAGGGATCCAAACCACATAAATTCAGATTGCCAGCAGTTTGGGATAGGAGCGGTTCAACTGTGCACAGATATAATGGGTGACCATATTTTCCTGCATGCTATTGAGTTGCAAATTTAATATTGTCTTCACGTCTCATAACTACTTGCCTTCCTTTCTGGATTGTTCTTTTAGTAACTCTGATTAGTCCCAACTTAAATGACACATTCTGCCTTAGGGTCTAGAGTGTCTGTGGGTCTTTGATTGGTTTGTGGTATGGCCGGGCTTCCGCAGGACTCACTGCTGACCAAGTGTCTGACTGGGTAAGGGAATGTAGGGCTCCTGATTCAGCAGGGTACCTAAGCATGTGCCTAACTTTAAACACATTCATAGCTCTGTTGGCTTCAATGGCACTACCAGTGCACCTAAAGTTAGGTATGTGCTTAAGTACCTAGCTGAACTGGGGCCAGGAACAGGACCAATGGGACAGGACGGTCTGGTTTACACACAGTTTTTGTACTGCTTTAATGAATGTACAGAAATAAGCCATATTTCTCTAAGCCCCTTTATAAGGGTGGGTGGCTGTACAGATACGCTTTGGCACAAAAACTGTATGTAGAGTAGCCCTAAGAGAAATACACCAGAGCTGCCCACACCTCTCTAGCTAAGAGCCGGTTGCCTCTGATCTGGAACCATTATTATCCCAGGTGACAGATACAGCACTTTCCTGCAAAATCTTTGGGAGATCTCACTGTATTGCTTATGTAGCATTGTGAGCCAGGGATTGTACATCACTCCATGGGGGAGGGTGACAACAGCTCCTCCAGGAATTGAGAACAGTCTGGGGGGTGATTAAGCAATTTCACAGAGGTTGTGAACAACAGCCAAGGGAAGGAATTTTGGATCAACAACCTGAGTTGAAACTGACTCAGGGCCTGTGTTGTGATCCAGCAAACGGACAGGACCTTCTGTCCGAGGGGGGAGCTCCAATCCTGGGAAGGGGCAGAAGGCTTTGGCCTATTGAGTCCCCATAAGACTGCTGGGTGACCTCTGGTCAGCGTTTAGCAGGCATGCATACAGGAACTTCTATTGGTTTTTATGTTTTCTCTGTAATACACCTCTACCCCGATATAACGCTGTCCTCGGGAGCCAAAAAATCTTACTGCGTTATAGGTGAAACCGCGTTATATCGAACTTGCTTTGATCCGCCAGAGTGCGCAGCCCCCCTTCCCCCCGACCACTGCTTTACCGCATTACATCCAAATTCGTGTTATATCGGGGTAGAGGTGTACTTTCATCTTAAGAATCAATGTGTTTGCTTAGGAAGGGCTGGGTGGTAACCAGGGTCGGCTCCAGGCACCAGCTGACTAAGCACGTGCTTGGGGCAGAACCTTATAAGGTTGGGGTGGCGTGGGGCGCTCGCGGTGTTTTTGTTTTTGTTCACAGGGCGGTGCTCGAGGTTTTTTTTGTTTTGTTTTGTTTTGGTGGCGTGGCGCTGGGGGGGGCGGGGCTTCGGCGGTGCAGGGGGGAGCGGGGGTTTGGGCGGTGCGGCCCGGCCCGGCGCTCGGGGCGGGGGTTTGGGCGACCCGGCCCGGCGCTGGCGGGGGGGCGGGGGTTTGGCCAGCACAGTGCTCCGGGGGTTTGGATGACCCGGCCTGGCGCTGTGCTCGGGAGGGGGGGTTGGGCGGCCCGGCGCGGTGCTCGGGGGGGGTGGGGCTTGGTCAGTCGGGTGCGGCGCTGGGGGGTGTTGTGTTACGGCGGGGTGGCACTCTTCTTTTTTGCCTGGGGCGGCAAAAAAGTTAGAGCCAGCCCTGGTGGTAACAATCATGCTGTTCATAGCATTCAAAGAGAAAGTGAAGCACAGACACTGGCCTAGTTAGGCAGTCTGGCTTGCTGGGAATACCACAGTGTAGGAACTGTGCAGCCTGGAAAAACCCCTGGTCAGGAGGGAGAGACATGGGTCTCTGCCCAAGAGAATTAATGGCTGGGAGCCTAAAAGTTGGTGCCCTTGGTGGACCACGGAGGTGGAATACAGGTGCAGTTGCCCTTAACTGTGACCCCCCCCAACCACGAAGGTGGCACAACAGACCACGATCTTTGTTGTAACATGAACTAGGATTGCAGGCTAAGGAGTTGCAAAACGTGTTACAGGACAGCACCTAAAATAAATCTGAGCTGGAAAGACAGGACCAGATTCTGCTACCCTGGCTCTTGTTGAGTAATACCTTGCTTTGCAAGCTGATTTGAACAAGGGCTACTTGTGGAGTCATGCGCTACACACAATGGGAACCTTTCCGCTAATTTCAATGGGGTTTGGATCAGGTTTAACGTGGGGCAGACTCTGACCCAGAGTGATGAACAGTGTTACAGTCATCTTAACTTGCAAGCAGTCTCCCAAATTAGAGTAAGCAATGACGAAACGTATCTCATTAAGGAAAACAGGCTTAGATCCAGCTCTCACTTCTACCTGCACTCCCTTCAGTGACTTACTCCGGAGTCACACTGGGGTACTCCAGTCCTGAATATGCCCCTCAGTCTCTGAAGTGTAAGTACACCGAGATCCTCTAGCTAAGAACCTCACATTAGCACATGTACTGCCAGGAAGATTCTCAAAGGCAGATTTAAAATGTTATTAGAAAATGTTTAAAAATAGATGATACAGAGTGTTGAAACTTCAGTTAGTAGTCATCGGGGTAACATACCGCCTGTAGGGGGATGTTAGTATTTTGATATTGGATAGCACATAACACATACAGTCTGCAATATCCCCAGTGGGGGGCTATAAGGGGGATGAATCAAGGTCCAGTCAGCAAGCAGTGAGGGTACATCACTCATACAGAAATGAGATCTAACTTTCGCGAGCAATTTGCAAGAGGGCGTTAGCTCAGCACCAGGTTAGAAGAAAAGAAAAAACCAGCCCGTACGGGTAAACGATCGCCCTACCCGCGAAGCACATGCTGGAAACTGACAGCCATCACCAGCCGTAAAAACCGCATCCACTGACATGCACCGCCACGACCGACCCCGCACAGCGCTCTGCGGCCCGGACTCGGATTTCATTCACTCCCCCCTCGAACTGTTGCTGGCCATGACCCAAATAGAACGAGCCGCTTCCCTCCCACCCTCCCGTGCGAACGGGCACGACTCCGGATGGCACCCAGCGCGCGTGGAAACCCGCCTCGGGAAGGCTGGCTGCCGCTGGCCGGCTTACCTGCGTGGGTCGTGAACTTCCACGGAAAACTTCTTCTCGCGGAAGTACAGGTTCTCTAGCTGCCTCCATTGGAAGATCTGCCGGGAAAAGGACTCGGGTGAAACGCAGAGCAGCACATCGCAGCGGCGCGGTAGCTCCCTCAGCCAGCCGGCTCGCTCCGAGAGGCGCCAAGCAGAAATCTGTAGCCAGGCAGGGCGCTGCGTGGGGGCGGGTTTCCCTGCCCCCCCCCCCTTTGTTCGCTTTGCACAGCCCCCACCCCGCGCTGTCTCGGGAGTTAGCAGCGGCCAGTGGTGCTGAACTGCGCGTCCTGCCGCTCCCAGTGCTGAAACAGGCCGGCGCTCGGCCCCCCGGGACAGCACTTCCTGCCCGCCACTGCGCGATCGCCCCCGGTTCGGGGCTTGGAGCCGCTTCACCAGCCTCTCTGCGCAGGGCGGAGGCGGCGGTGACCCTGGGCAGGGCAGGCAGCATAGGCTGGGCTCGCTGCGGGGCTGCAGACAAAGACGCCCAGCGCCCTGGCTCTTGGCGCGGCTACGTGCCAGCAAAGTTTTAGCCCCAGGCTCGGCGGGAGGGAAAGGCCGGGGCAGCCGCATGGCTCCTAGCACCCCGCTTCCCCCCCCCCCACCGTCCCCGCTGGAGCGAAAGCAGGTACCATCCTAGGGCACGGCCAGGGGGGGTCTCTCGGCTCTGGAGGGGAAAGCACACCAGGGAGCGCAAAGAAGGAATCTGTGTCGAGGAGCGAAATTCCTTCAGCATCCACCCATCCCACCTGGCTCTGCAGAATTGCTCTCTCGCTCGCTCTCTCTTTTTTTTTAACACGGCTAAATAAGATATCAACCCACAAAAGCCACCAAAAGCAAAGCATGTGGCGTGCCTTGGAGCATCGCCTGTAGCACTACAGCTTGACATGCTCTCACAGGGAAGAGATTTAAAGGAGCCCAGGTGATAGTTTGTGGGCCAGATCCCCGGCTCATGTCAATTGCCTCGACTGAAGTCACCAGCTGAAGAGTTAGAGATGAGCTTGTATTGATTGATGAGCGTTCATCTGGGATTAACTCCCAGCTTTTACAAACATGAACTAAGCCTCACAATTTATTGTTTATGTTTATTATGGGAGTAGGGTGACCAGATAGCATGTGTGAAAAATCAGGACAGGGGGTGGGGGATAATTGATGCCTATATAAGACACAGCCCCAAATATCAGGACTGTCCCTATAAAATCAAGACATCTGGTCACCCTATATGGTAGTCCCCATTGTGCTAGGCACTGTACAAACACAGAATGCCAGAGGCCCTACCCCTAAAGAGCTTACAATCTACATGGACAAGACAGACAAAAGACAGAAGAGAAGGCCAGAACATACAGCAGAAAGAACAATACAATGGCTGCAACTGTCATGATGTTTCCAAGGCATCCTCTGATCAAGATTATTACAACCATTTTACAGAGAGGTTCATTGACTTGCCCGAGGTCACATACTGAGTCAGTGACAGCACCAAGAATAAAACTTGTGTTCCGGACACTCAGGCTACCTGTTCCAGCCACTAAACACCACTCTTTCTCCCATTTGATTGAGAAAAGGCAGCAATCCCCCGCAACATGAATGGGTATCTTGGATTCCTTCATCTCTGTCGCCAGTTTATCATGGACAAATTGCAAGGCTGTAAGCCCTGCAATGGTTATGTATCTGCCGCTGAACAGACGCACCAGATCCCACCCTGTCTAAGCAAACGCTCGTAATAAAAGCAGCTTCCGCTGAATTCCTATCTTAAGGAAGAAGCAGTAGCTTGTTACCTTGAGATAAAGCAAAACCACCCACCCCTCAATATCGAAGTTACAAAGATAACTCGGGTTTCAGTTAAACGGAAGATGTGCTTTGATCTTCATTGATTGATCAGCCATAGAAGAGGAGGGGAGAGGAGATCTAAAAACTAAAGCTATCTACAGCATAGATACAAGTATTCTCCCCTGTCGCTACTGCGGTGGTGCTGGAATTCAAAACCCACCAGATGTTTGTGTTGTGAAAGTTTCCAACCAAGAGATTTTTTTTTAATGCGGTGGGTGTAGAGAAGGAGGTGGAGGGTGGAGAACACACGCCAGCACCTCCTGACCCCTTGGCAGACAATCACCCTCTCCAGATGAAACTCCAGATGCCTGGAATAGCTGCTGGGGACTTGTCTCACTTTCAGTGCAGCAAAAGTGCTTAGCTACATTGCATTCTGCAGTTGTCCCCGTGACCCAGCTGAGGCTGGCAAAATAATAAAAAAACAACCCCAAAACAAAACCCAGCAGTGCAACATTATCATTATGGAGCTAATTTGTTTCCCAGGTGGAAAAATTAATCTCTACACAGAAATGAACTTGCCACTTCCGAGACATTTTCCTCTCATAAAAATAACCCAGAAATAACATGGGTGTATGGAAGCATCCATGACCTTAGGCAGAGGGGAAAGACGGCCTTGTGGTGAAAGCACTGGGAGTCAGATGATCCGAGTTCAATGCCCCACTCTGCCAAGGGCTTCTTATGTGACCTCAGTCAAGTCACGGAAGAGGCAGATTTCCAAAGTCACCAATGGTAGTTAGCCATTTGTGCCTTGGAAAATTTCCCTCAGTCTCTCTGTGCTTCCAGTTGTCTATCTGTAAAATGGGGATATAGTAACCCTACCCAAGTACCCATTCTCACAGGGCAGGGGAGAGGATACATTAGTAAATGTTTGGGAGGCACTCACAGAGGGACACATCAATACCTGGATAAGCAGAAGCTCACAGCTTTCCAGTGTTTCTCCCACTGTTGACTTATGTGGATAAACAACAGATCCTTCCCTCAGTGCAAATGGGACTTTAAAGCCTCATCTGAGTGTCCGTCAGCAACTGCTCTCTAAGGCCAGGTCTACACTACCCCCCTAATTCGAACTAAGGTACGGAACTTCAGCTACGTGAATAACTAAGTAC